ATCTCGATCATATTAAAAAAAAAAGAGAAGAAATCTCCAACTACGCCTTGAAAATTCTTTATAAAGTGTGGAAACAATGATCTGCGACCTCAACAACCTCACCATCCTCAGGAATCACATGGAAAAAAACTCCAAGCATCACCCTCAGCAACAGCCAAAAAGAAAAAACAAAATTACAGATTGTTTTCTTGATTACATAAAAATTTTTTAAATTAATTTATACCATATACATTTACTGCATAGTTTATAGGTTGATTTTTGATAATTTAATAAAGCCACTAATCAAATATAAAAACATTTTTTTAAAATTTTATTTGGCAATCTAGTTATTAATTGAATCAAAACCTTTTTTTTACGTTATTAGATGAGTTACACAGCACATGTTGGTTGTGCTGTCATCGACGCCCGCAACAGTTTGACGTTATATACTGTATATAAGTTAAACTTTTTATGGTATAAATCCTAGGTTGCTAACAGAAAGTGGTCTTATAATTTTCCTTTCTTATGCAGAATAAAGTTCTGGATATTTTTTTAATGTATTGTAATAATTATCTATCTACAGTATATTAATAAAAGTCAAAAGGTACAAACAGTTCCAACATTACAGTAGTATACAAACTTATGAAAATGTCTTGAGAAAATTTCACATCACATGCAATTCATTCTTTACGAAAACGCAGTACTGTATCGCAGTACCATATTACCATATCTATAAAATTTATTTGGCACTGTAGCACGTTCTACTGCATAAATATACCGATGATTTTCTTAAAATAATAAACTCTTACTTACGATCATTGTATTGTAATCAAGCGTAGAAATGAATGAGGCCAAAAGATTATTTCAATGTGCTATTACCGAATACAAATTGAACGACATTCCTATAGGAAAATTAAAAAATAAGGAAGTGATTGGAAAAGGGGCATACGGTTACGTGTATAGATGCAATATTGACGAAGATTCTAGAATGGTGGCAATAAAAGAAATATCTGTTGGTGATGAAGATAGCGACACATCTATCAAATCCTTTCTTGACGAGGTTTGAAGTTTTTTACTTATAAATAAATCGTTCGTTTAGGCAAGATTTTATTCATCAATATTTTGATTTATTTTTAGTTAAAAGTACACAGCAGGGCCAAAAACCATCGTATTATTGAGTTATTTGGAATGAGCTATGGTCAGAAAGTTCATATTAAGCATTGGGTTATTTTTTAAACAAAAATTATAAATTAACGATGTTTTATTACAAAGATGAAAATGTTAATTTATGCTACCTTGTGATGGAACTCGCTGAATGTGATTTAAGGAAATATTTAACAGACAAACAAGATGAACTTTATTGGGATAAAAAAATAGAACTCGCAATCCAATTAACAGAAGGGTTGTTGTATATCCACAATACGATGAATGTAGCACACCGTGATTTGGTATCAGACTACTGTATATTTTGTAAAGTCGTTATTCATAAATAATTTATTTATTTATCTATTTTATTTAGCACACAAAAAACGTTTTGATTTGGAAAGGAAACATAAAAATTGCGGACTTTGGACTGTCGAAGAATTTCAACAATGTCATGTCAAGTAAAAGCAGTATTTTTCCCTTCACTGATCCCCAAAGATTGGGGAATTCTCATTATGAAATAGATACCAAATCCGATATTTATAGTCTTGGTGTGATATTCTGGGAAATTTCAAGCTGCCTCCCACCATTTTATCAACAGGATAGTGCTTCCATTATCAATAGCATTTTACAGAATGTACGCGAAGCCCCTGTTATCGGAACACCTTTATCCTTTATTCAGCTTTATTCCAAATGTTGGGATGTATCGCCTTTGCTTCGTCCTACTGTAGATCAAATTCTTAATGAACTTAGGTCATTGTCTCTCGATCCAATTTATAATGGTGATAACTTTGTTAATGATATACTGTCAAATACAAGCGGTGAATGTTTAATTATTTACGGTGTTATTATTGGAGTGCTACTTTTTTACTAATATATATATATATATTTAGATTCAAATAGACACACTTATTCCGCGGATGTTCTTGAAGAATCTTTTGACGTAAGCAAAAGTAAAGTTGGATAACTTTTGAGTAAATTCATAACATTTTAATTATTTAAACAGGACAACATTGATAAAAAGCAAGTATAAAGTTTATAATAAAGGTGTATGCGGGTTGATAACATTTGATAAATTTGCAAAAAAAAAAGAATAAATTGTTGGGTTTATTCTTCATAAATAATGATTTTAATTTAACTATTCATAAAAGTTAACTTTTAATAACCCTTTTTTTATTATCATACATATTATTCCTCTTTGAACGATTGCCAAATTGATAGAACGTATGTATAAAGCTTTATAAGTTTATTCTAATATTTATTCCCAAATAACTTCGTTAACTAATTATAAATTTAACAGTGATTGCAGCGAGTGAGCAAAATTTTATACTTACTATATTATTAAATTGCCGAATAACTAATAATTAATTAATTTAATAATAATAGCAGGCAAGTCTAAAGCTGATTATTTCTTTCTCATTAATACACTATTTTTGAATAGTTTTCCTAATTAATTATTGAATTTAATATAATAGCTCGTAAGTCTTCAGTTTTTTAAGTTCTTACTTATTGATATTCCATTCCTAAATAACAAATAACTATTAACTTTAATAATAATTAGCGAGTAAGTCAAAAGTTTATAAATTCAGGCTCTATTCCTAAATAACTAAATAATATTTATTTTGAACCAATTAGCGAGTAAGTCTAAAGCTTTAAGTTCGTGCTTATTAATATTTCATGCCTAAATAACTAAATAATTTTATCATTCATATTCTATTCCTGACTAACCAAATAATTTATTTAATGACACGATAGCACGTAAGTTCTAGTTTGTGCTCATTAATATTCCTAAATAACTATATAATTCTATTTGATAACACAATAGCACGTAAGTTTAAGTTTTAAGTTTGTACTCATTAATATTCCTAAATAACTAAATAACTTTATATGGCGACACAATAGCACGTGAGTTCAAATTTTAAGTTTGTGCTCATTAATATTCCTAATTACTAAATAGCTTTATTTGACGACACAATAGCACGTAAGTTCAGGTTTTAAGTTTGTACTCATCAATATTACATTCCTAAATAATTATATAATTCTATTTGATAACACAATAGCGCGTAAGTTTAAGTTTTAAGTTCGTGCTCATTAATATTCCATTTCTAAATAACTAAATAATTTTAATTTTAATAACATATTAGCGAGTAAGTTCAAATTTTAAGTTTGTGCTCATTAATATTTTATTCTTAAACAACTATATAACTCTATTTGATAACACATAGCACGTAAGTCCAAGTTTTAAGTTTGTGCTCATTAATATTCCTAATTACTTAATAGTTTTATTTGACGACACAATAGCACGTAAGTTCAAGTTTTAAGTTCGTGCTCATCAATATTCCATTCTTAAATAACTATATAACTCTATTGGATAACACAATAGCACGTAAGTTCAAGTTTTAAGTTTGAGCTCGTTAATATTCCATTCTTAAAAACCATATAATTCTATTTGCTAAACCAATAGCACGTAAGTTCAGGGTTTAAGTTTGTGCTCATTAATATTCTATTATTAAATAACTATATAATTCTATTTGCTAAACCAATAGCACGTAAGTTTAAGTTTTAAGTTTGTACTCATTAATATTCCTAAATAACTAAATAACTTTATATGGCGACACAATAGCACGTGAGTTCAAATTTTAAGTTTGTGCTCATTAATATTCCTAATTACTAAATAGCTTTATTTGACGACACAATAGCACGTAAGTTCAGGTTTTAAGTTTGTACTCATCAATATTACATTCCTAAATAATTATATAATTCTATTTGATAACACAATAGCGCGTAAGTTTAAGTTTTAAGTTCGTGCTCATTAATATTCCATTTCTAAATAACTAAATAATTTTAATTTTAATAACATATTAGCGAGTAAGTTCAAATTTTAAGTTTGTGCTCATTAATATTTTATTCTTAAACAACTATATAACTCTATTTGATAACACATAGCACGTAAGTCCAAGTTTTAAGTTTGTGCTCATTAATATTCCTAATTACTTAATAGTTTTATTTGACGACACAATAGCACGTAAGTTCAAGTTTTAAGTTCGTGCTCATCAATATTCCATTCTTAAATAACTATATAACTCTATTGGATAACACAATAGCACGTAAGTTCAAGTTTTAAGTTTGAGCTCGTTAATATTCCATTCTTAAAAACCATATAATTCTATTTGCTAAACCAATAGCACGTAAGTTCAGGGTTTAAGTTTGTGCTCATTAATATTCTATTATTAAATAACTATATAATTCTATTTGCTAAACCAATAGCACGTAAGTTTAAGTTTTAAGTTTGTGCTCATCAATATGCCATTTCTAAATAACTAAATAATTATTGATTTTAATAACATTAGCGAGTAAGTTCAAGTTTTAAGTTTGTGCTCATTAATATTCCATTCTTAAATAACTATATAACTCTATTTAATAACACAATAGCACGTAAGTTTAAGTTTTAAGTTCGAGCTCATTAATTTCCATTCCTAAATAACCATATACTGTAACTCTATTTGATAACACAATAGCACGTAAGTTCGAGTTTTAAGTCTGTGCTCATTATTATTCCATTTCTAAATAACTAAATAATTATTGATTTTAATACCATATTAGCGAGTAAGTTCAAATTTTGAGTTTGCTTATTAATATTCCATTCTTAAATGACTACATAATTCTATTTGATAACGCAATAGCACGTAAGTTTAAGTTTTAAGTTTATGCTCATTAATATTCCTAAACAACTAAACAACTTTATTTGACGACACAATAGCACGTAAGTTAAAACTTTAAGTTTGGGCTCATTAATATTCCTAAATAACTATATAACACTGTTTGATAACACAATAGCGCGTAGGTTCAAGTTTTAAGTTTGTGCCATTAACATTCCACTCCTAAATAACTAAATAACTTTACTTGATAACATAATAGCACGTAAGTTTAAGTTTAAGTTCGTACTCATTAATATTCCATTTCCAAATAACCAAATAATTATTAATTTTAATAACATAGCGAGTAAGTTCAAATTTTAAGTTTGTGCTAATTAATGTTCCATTCTTAAATAACTATATAACTCTATTTAATAACACAATAGCATGTAAGTTCAAGCTTGAGTTTGTGTTCATTAATATTCCTAAATAACTAAATAACTTTATTTGACGACACAATAGCACGTAAGTTTAATTTTTAAGTTTGGCTCATTAATATTCCATTCTAATTAACTATATAATTCTATTTGATACCACAACAGCACGTAAGTTCAAATTTTAAGTTCGCGCTCATTAATATTCCATTCCTGAATAACTATATAACTTTATTTGATAACATAATAGCACGTAAGTTTAAGTTTTAAGTTTGTGCTCATTAATATTCCATTTTTAAATAACTAAATAATTGTTAATTTTAACAACATATTAGCGAGTAAGTTCAAATTTTGAGTTTGTGCTCATTAATATTCCATTTCTAAATAACTAAAGAGCTTTATGGCACAATAGCACGTAAGTTTAAATTTCAGTTTGTGCTCATTAATATTCCATTCCCAAATAACTATATAACTCTATTTGGTGGCACAGTAGGGTGTAAGTTCGAGTTTTAAGTTTATAATTATTAATACTCCATTCCTAAATAACTAAATAACTATTAAATTTAATTATGTATTAGCTAGTAAGTCTAAATTTTATAAATTCATGCTCACTAATCCTCCATTTGTAAATAACTAATAACTATTAAATTTAAAAAAGTACTGGCTAGTAAGTCTAAATTTTATAAATTCATGTTCATTGATCCTCCATTCCTAAGTAACTATATAACTTAATTTTAATAACATATTAGCGAGTAAGTTTTAAGTTTAAGTTTGTGCTCATTAATCTCCCATTTCTAAATAACTAAATAACTTAATTTTAAAAACATATTAGCGAGTAAGTTTATTTTTGAGTTTGTGTTAATTAATATTTTTAAGTAACTAAATAACTTTATTTGATGACACAATAGTTGGTAAGTTCAAGTTTTAAGTTTTTGCTTATTAATATTTTATCCTAAATAACGAAATAACTATTAAATTTAACAATGTATTACAGGGACGAGTAAGTCCAAATTTTATAAATTAA